AATCTCATTAAATAGAAGAGAGAACAGTGGAGTAGAGGGAGGGGATTAAGAGAGTAGAAGAGGCATGGGAAAGGAGAGAAACAGTGGAATGAAATTCACTAAACTTTATGCAGATGTACGACTATATCACAATGAATTCTACTTTTATATAAATATAATGCACCAATTACAAAAAAAAAGTGAATAAAAGAAAGACGAGTAGAATATAGAGGAAATGAATGAGGGAGAGAGAAGAGAAAGAAAGGAAATAGCATCAGAAATTTAAGTGGAACAAATTATGTTATATGTATTAATGAATATGCCAAAATGAACCCCACTAATATGTATAACTATAATTTATTAATAAAAAAGAAAAATGGGCAAATGGGGTTATATCAAACCAAAAAAAAACTTCTGCTCCTCAAAGAAAATAATTGACAATGGAGAAACAACTTACAGACTGAGAGAAAATAATTGCAAATAATACAATCTGATAAGCAATTAATATCCTAAAGTATATAAGGAACTCAAGTTAGAACAAAATAAATAATAATAATAATAATAATAATCTAATTAAAAACGGGCAATACATCTGGAAGATGCTTTTTTGTAGAATTGGTACCATTTTTTTTCCTTCAATGTTTTTCCAGAATTCACCAGCAATACAATGGGAACCTAGAGATTTTTTTTTTTTTAATGGAAAGAGTCCTCATTTAAAATGACCATTCCATGATGGTGGAATGTGTTGGACATTATTATCCAAAGTACATGTATGAAGACCCAAATTGGTGTGAATATACTGTATATACAACCAGAGATATGAAAAATTGTGCTTTATATGTGCAATAAGAATTGTAATGCATTACACTGTCATATATCAATAAAAATTAATTTTAAAAAATAATGAAATAAAAAAATATATAAAATGATCATTCCAGGGCTGGGGTTGTGGCTCAGTGGTAGAGCACTCACCTGGCATGTGTGAGGCACTGGGTATGATCCTTAGCACCACATAAAAATAAAATAAACGTATTGGGTCCACCTACAACTAAAAAATCAATATTAAAAAATAAATAAATGAAATAAAATAAACTGACATTCCAGCCAGGCTTGGTGGTGCACCTCTATAATCATAGTAATTTGAGAGTTTGAAGCAGGAGGATGACAAGTTTTAGGCCAGGCTGGGCAACTTAACACATCTTGTCTCAAAATAAAAATGAAAGGAATTATTCAAAATGAAAGCTTAAAAATAACTAAATTCATAAAAGTTAAAAAAAGGAGCTGAGGGTGTAATTCAGAGGTAAAGCACAACTGAGTTAAATTCCTAGTACTACTAAAAAGAAAGGAAGGAAGGAACAAAAAAGGAACAAAGGAAGGAAGATCTTTAAAAGCTGTAGGGCTCCTCAGGCTATATGTTCCTGCATAAACTTTGGTAGTTCATGTCTTTCAAGATAATTTTCTATTTAATTTCTATTGTCAATTTTATTGGGATAATATTAGCATAAAACATTTCCTTACTCTTTCATGTATTATGATCTGTAATAATATACTCTCTCATTTCAGGTATGGTAATTTGTATCTTCTTTCTTTTCTCCCTGATAATTTTACCTAGAAATTTACTGATTTTATTAATTTACTAAAGAGCAATGGTTTAGTTTTTATTGATTTTCTCTATATTTGTTTTCTATTTTATTGATTTATGTTCTTATATATATATATTGTGTAATATGTAATAATTATTTATTTTATTTAATTATGTAAATTATTATATATTGATCATAAATACATAATACAGTATTGTATATCATATTATGTTAATATAATATTTTATATTTCATTACTTAGTAATATTTAATAATTAATTCATTATTATTTGTTCTTTTTTTATACTTCCTTAAGGTAAAGGCTTGGTGCATTTATTCGACACTGCTCCTTTCTAATACAGCCACTTAAATATTATAGGATTTCCTTTTAGGACTACTTTGTCATGTTTTCATTTCATTCAGTGGAAAATATTTTAAATTCTCCTTTCAATTTTTGTTTTGACTCATAGGTTAAAAGTATAACATTTAGTTCCCAGGTACTTGGAGATTATCCAGATATTTCTATTATTGATGTTTAATTTAATTGTATTTTGGCCAGAGAAGATAATTTGTATGCTGAAAATTCTTTTCATTTTTTATAAGCCAAAATAGCCAGTATATGGTCTATCTGGGTATGCTGGAAAAGAATACATATTCTGCTGTTGTTGGTTTGAATGTTCTAAAAATGCCAATTCAGTCAGGTTGGTTTGGAGTGTGATTTGATGTTCTGTTGCTTCTGCTTATTTTTTTGTCTACTTGTTCAATTACGTATTAAGAAAGCA